TACTAATATGACTAGGATTATTAATTTGGCTACTGGACAATAAAATAATGTTGATTTGAAAACCAATAGAACAAGAGAAAAAGGATGGTTTCAATGGTTTCAAAGTGTTTACTGTGCCTTCAGAAAGTATTCACACCCCTTGAACTCTTTCCACATTTTGTTGTGTTACAGCCTAAATTTAAAATGAATTAAATTGAGATTGTTTGGTTACTGGCCTACACACAATATCCATAATGTCAAAGTGGAATTATGTTTTTAGACATTTTTACAAATTGATTAAAAATGAAAAGCTGAAATGTCTTGAGTCAATAAGTATTCAACCCCTTTGTTATGGCAAGCCTAAATAAGTTCAGGAGTAAACATTTGATAACAAGTTACATAATAAGTTGCATGGACTTCCTCTGTGTGCAATAATAGTGTTTAACATGACTGCTTCATCTCTGTACACCACACATTCAATAATCTGTAAGGTCCCTCAGTCGAGCAGTGAATTTCAAACAGATTTGACCACAAAGACCAGGGAGGTTTTCCAATGCCTCACAAAGAAGGGCACCTATTAGTTTAAAAAAGCAGACATTGAATATTCCTTTGAGCATGGTGAAGTTATTAATTATACTTTGGATGGTGTATCAATACACAAAGTCACTACAAAGATACAGGCGTCCTTCCTAACTCAGTTGCGGGAGAGGAAGCAAACCGCTCTGGGATTTCACCATGAGGACAATGGTGACTTTAAAACAGTCACAGAGTTAAATGGCTGTGATAGGAGAAAACAGAGGATGGATCAACAACATTGTAGTTACTACACAATACTAACCTAATTGACAGAGTAAAAAAAACAAAAAACAAAATCTAAAACACGCATCCTGTTTGCAACAAGGCACTAAAGTAATACTGCAAAAAATGTGGCAAAGCAATTAACTTTTTGTCCTGAATACAAAGTGTTATGTTTGGGGCAAATCCAATAGCACATTACTGAGTACCACTCTCCATATTTTAAGCATAGTGGTGGCTATCATGTTATGGGTATGCTTGTAATGGTTGAGGACTGGGGAGTTTTTCAGGATAAAAAAAAGCTAAGCACAGGCAAATCCTAGAGGAAAACCTGGTTCAGTCTGCTTTCCACCAGACACTGGGAGATTAATTCACCTTTCAGAAGGACAATAACCTAATAATTATGTAAATGAGATATTTCTGTATTTCATTTTCAATACATTTGCTAAAATTTCTAAAAACAGGTTTTCACCTTGTCATTATGGGGTATTTTGTGTAGATGGTGATTTATTTATTTTGTAATCCATTTTTTAATTAGGCTGTAACACAACAAAATGTGTAATAAGTCAAGGGGTATGAATACTTTCTGAAGGCACGGTATTTATGTAATTAAAAGTCTCAATAACCTTTGGCTACATTTTCTGGCGCCTCCATGTCAGCATCGGTTTGGACACAAGGCTGTATGTAGCCAATACGCATATCACCTACACTTTGACATGTAGGCATTTTAATTATGTAGGCCTATATGAAAATTGTATTTTAATATTATTCCAATATTTTCCTCTCTGATCCAATTCTAATCGGAGTAATTGTTTGATAATGTGATTTTTGGGGGATTTTTTTTACTTGTCCATTTGGACAACTTAAATCTTTATTCTTCTTGTCCAACATTTTTTTTTTTACTTGTCCTGAACAAGATCATAATCATTAATCTCGAGCCCTGTCAAGTAGCCCCTAACTTTAAACTTTTTTCTCTAGAGTTTAAGACTTACCTTGATGTTGGCTTCACAGCTGTGCTCCACTATGAAGAGGTCGGCCCCGTCAACAGCCAGACGGGTCATGGTGTACTTGAGCTCCTCAGATGTCCGGCAGTGTCCAGGCAGGCAGGCCATCTACGAGAGAAGATAACAGAATAGTTACAATGGTTTATTATTGTCTTCTCATATTTTTTCACAAATATAGAAAACCAGAAAACCAGCAGACTACAGATTTTCTAATATGTGATTTCCATGCACAGAAAAAGTGTGTACGTGTTACCTTGGAGTCACACACACGGCGGTCCACCCCATGCTGGCAGATGACGGAGGGCTTGGGCTGTTCCAGCTGGAACTCCCGGGAGAAGACGTGGAACATGTATGTCTCGCCCCACTCCATCACACTGGCCAGCTGAGGAACAACAAATCCATTAGATATACACAAAATAGAAACACGTACACAAACATAAAACACACAAACAGAGAGAACAGACCTGTGGCATGGTGACTCTCCCAGTGAGGGCCCCGGCTTGCATGTCTATGAGCCAGGCGTACTCCAGGGTGTCTGTGCCTAGAGGCAGGCCCTGGGCTGAGAACATGGCGTGAGCACGCATCTGCAGACCAGACAGACTCAGGTGGCCGTCCCTCAGAACACCATCAGACGTGGGCCGCTGTGTGGATACACATAATAATTAGGGCTGTCAAAGTTAACGTCTTAATACCGCATTAATCACATCTCCATTTCTTCACCACATGGACGCTTAAGCGAAAGTGTTTCCACACTAAACCTTTTAAGCGCAACACACAACACGCTCTGTGCTGTTTAGTGTGCACTCGGTCTCTGTAGCGCTTTCTGTCTCTACTGAAAGCGTGGTGCTTAAACATCCACTATGCACGCAGCTTTCAGCAACCATTTTGAAGGAAAATGTACAGAAAGTTCAACCATAAACACATTCCTAGGCGTCTCTTTAGATAACAGCAAAAACATAATAATTTGTATGGAAGTAGCTAGCTAGTTATGCTAACGTTAGCTAGCTAGCTAACCAACATAATGTTTACAATGCCATGACTGAATGCCTCTTGATTCAACTCTAATTTCCCACAATGATTTTAAATCATAACAGGACATCCATTCCATTTAGCTGCTGTTTTTGTTGTAGTTCTCAGGTCAAAAGATTTAAGCAAATGGTCCCACATTTTTAGTAGTAGCATCTTGTGACTAGTTCATGTTGAAGAACATAAGTAGCCTACATTTTAGCAAATTCAAAAATTGCGATTAATCACGATTACTGCCATTAAATCGATTCATTATTTTAATCGTATGACAGCGCTAGTAGTAATAATAAACTTGTTGGAGCCTAAAAACAGATATACAGTGCCTTCAGAAAATATTCAGACCCCTTGACTTTTTCACATTTTGTAACGTTACAGCCGTATTCTAAAATTGATTAAATAAAAAAAGTCCATCAATCTACACACAATACCCCGTTACAACAAAGCGAAAACAGGTTTACAGAAATACCTTATTTACACAAGTATTCAGACCCTTTGCTATGAGACTCGAAATTGAGCTCAGGTGCATCCTGTTTCCATTGATCATACTTGAGATGTCTCTACAACTTGATTGGAGTCCACCTGTGGTAAATTCAATTGATTGGACATGATTTGGAAAAGCACACACCTGTCTATATAAGGTCCCACAGTTGACAGTGCATGTCAGAGCAAAAACCAAGCCATGAGGTCAAAGGAATTGTCTGTTGAGCTCCGAGACAGGATTGTATCGAGGCACAGATCTGGGGAAGGGTACCAAAACATTTCTGCAGCATGGAAGGTCCCCAAGAACACAATGGCCTCCATCATTCTTAAATGGAAGAAGTTTGGAACCACCAAGACTCTTCCTAGAGCTGACCGCCCTGCCAAACTAAGCAATCAGGGGAGAAGGGCCTTGGTCAGGGAGGTGACCAAGAACCTGATGGTCACTCTGACAGAGCTCTAGAGTTCCTCTGTGGAGATGAGAGAACCTTCCAGAAGGACAACCATCTCTGCAGCACTCCACCAATCAGGCCTTTATGGTAGAGTGGCCAGACTGAAGCCACTCTTCAGTAAAAGGCACATGACAGCCCGTTATGAGTTTGCCAAAAGGCACCTAAAGACTCTCAGACCATGAGAAACAAGATTCTCTGGTCTGATGAAACCAAGATTGAAGTCTTTGGCCTGAAGGCCAAGTGTCACGTCTGGAGGAAATCTGGCACCATCCCTACGGTGAAGCATGGTGGTGATAGCACTCAGGACCTCAGACTGGGGCGAAGGTTCACCTTCCAACAGGACAACTACCCTAAGCACACAGCCAAGACAGCGCAGGAGTGGCTTCTGGACAAGTCTCTGAAAATAGCTGTGCATCAACGCTCCCCATCCAACCTGACTGAGCTTGAGAGGATCTTCAGAGAAGAATGGGAGAAACTCCCCAAATACAGGTGTGCCAAGCTTGTAGCGTCATACCCAAGAACACTCGAGGCTGTAATCGCTGCCAAAGGTGCTTGAACAAAGTACTGAGTAAAGGGTCTGAATACTTGTATTTTTTTTAAATATAGATTACTAGCTACAATTTCTAAAAACCCGTTTTTGCTTTGTCATTATGGGGTATTGTGTGTAGATTGATGAGGAAACAATTAATCCATTTTAGAATATAGCTGTAATGTAACAAAATGTGGAAAAAGTCACACAAACATACAGACATTATGCATCTATCATACATCCATCACATGCATACAATCTTGTGAAAGCACAAAACAACCTCTTAGAATTGCTATTTCCTGCAGTTTGACAGTCAAATGGTAGTATTGTGCGATGTGCATTGCTAAAGTGTATTTTTGATTCTTTGCAATTCAAATCTTCAGCCAGTTGATCCACATTCACTGTACTCTCAAAACATTGTGCCACATACCCACAACAAAAATGTTGCGGTATATTATCCTCAGCGGAACTCAGTTCTGCAGGTCATTGCATGAGGGAAGAGATTACCAATCAGGGCATTTCAGGTAAATCTCTAAGCTCTGAGGCTCCAGTAATAACAAACCCATGGCTACTGCTAAGCATACAATCATAAACCATGTTCTGCGCAATGTCTACATCAATCCAGTGCTTTTAAATCCTTGTGAACATGAACACGTGCACCCCTTGAAGTGAAAGGGGAGGGCTCTGGTATAAATGTATCCCGAATGCTCCTTCCATCGATTATGATTGACTCACCTGGTAGTTGTCACTGATGAAGATGTGAGCCGGGGAGAGCACAAGCTGGAGCATGGTCTCCTTGTAGCCCTTCTTCATCTCAAAACACAGCTTCTCTAGGAACCCAGAGGGGGCTTCAGGACTGTCGCTGCCACAGTGCTGTCCAGACACATGCGGAGAGAGAGTTAGAAGAATGGTTGGGTTAAGGGTTATCTCCAGCACTCGTACAACTGATACAAAGTGGTGCTGGTAGACCACATAATGTGTTAGTTGTTGATAAAGATTGCTGGTTGTTGCAGGGGTAGGTGGGGATGGACTTACCATGGGCAGGCGTCCGTGCACCTTGTAGAGGTTGATGAGGACGGTGATGTCCCAGGGGCGCAAGGCCAGGGGGTGGAGGGTGGCAGCATCCCTCCTGTCATCGTCCAGGCCCAGTGGAGACCAACCCAGGGTGGAGGAGGTGGACAGGGAGGACAGCACAGGGCTGGACACCGCCTCCTCAAAGTCTGTGTACATGTCGTCCTCACCAAAGTAGTTCTCCTACAGAAGGGGGAGAGGGATGTGTGGATGGTTAAATCTTGTGACTTTCGGCCTCCTGAGTGGTGTAGCGGTCTAAGGCACTGCAGTGCTTGAGGCGTCACTACAGACCAGGGTTTGATCCCAGGCTGTGTCGAAGCCGGCCGTGACCGTGAGACCCATGAGGCGACGCACAATTGGCCCAGCGTCGTCCGGGTTAGGGGAGGGTTTGGCCGGCCAGGATGTTCTTGTCCCATCGCGCTCTAGCAACTCCTGTGGCGGGCAGCGCGCATGCACGCTGACACAGTCGCCAATTGTACGGTGTTTCCTACGACACATTGGTGCGGCTGGCTTCCGGGTTAAGCGAGCAGTGTGTCAAGAAGCAGTGCGGCTTGGCAGGGTCGTGTTTCGGAGGACACATGGCTCTCAATCTTCGCCTCTCCCGAGTCCGTACAGGAGTTGCAGCGATGGGACAAGACTGTGACTACCAATTGGATATCACGAAATTGGGGAGAAAAAGGGGTAAAAGAAATTGTGACTTTTTCTAACCAAGGGGCTGAATCCTTGACTTGAAGCATGTACACATCACTCAAATGTTTTCCTCAAATCTCCCATCTACCCTCCCTAGGTTTTTTTTGGATGAGGTCTATGAGTCTGCACAGTTTTTGTGCTGTATGTTGTCTCCCTGACTGTACCTTGATGGAGACGAGGGCCTTGAGCAGGGGCCCGTAGAGGATGATCTGGGAGTCGGGGGACATCTCTATCTCCACATGGAGCCTGTCGGGGGGCAGCTCCGAGGGATCTGTGGTCACCCTGCTGTTGGGGGCAGAGCTGCGAGGCGGTGGCGGGTGGGGCACAGACGGGTGCTCAGGGGGGCGCAAGGACGACAACATGGCATCCTCCATCTCCGACACTGCAGGGACAGAGAAACACTTACGTATAAGTACAGAGCAGGAACATATAAACATTCAAATAAAGTTAAACATCTTAGGAATCTGCTCACAGGACTGCTTCAGCTGTTCGTCTGCCTTCTGGGGGTAGATGGGGTGCCAGGTGTAATCAATGATGAGCAGGAAGTTTGGGACAGTCCAACAGTCCACCCAGCCAGCCCTGGGGAACAAGGAACAAATGACATAGTGAAATGGTAATTGCATAGTAATAATGATTTACTTGTTTGTTTCTTTGGGATTCAATGAAACAAACACCACTTAGGGCTGTGGCGGTCATGACATTTTGTCAGACGGTTATTGTCATGCAAAAGACAGCTGGTCTCACAGTAATTGACCGTTAATTAACATAAACACGTTTAGCATCTCCAGGCCTCCAGCATACAAGCTGCTGATGCACGACTTTGGAACATCTACATTTCAAAAAGTCAACTAAATCAATTGAATATACACCATCACAATAACGCCATTATTTATTTTAGGCAGGTCTAAAGAAACATTATGATATGAAGAAAATGTCTTTCAGAAGAACAGAATATGAGTTGGCCTACTCTATGTTATCTGGCTATGCGCCATGCCATAGGCTGTAGGCTTGTTCATTTAGCAGACAAGATCTGCTTATAAGTCCCGTGCCATTATTTTATAGGGTGAGTATTGGCAAAGTGAGACACTTTCTGAAAATGTGCTTTCCGGAACACCTTACAGAATCATCCCATTGTCTTAACCCCCAACATGATACCATTCTAAATAGCTTAGGAACTCTACTACACTATACAAAATAAAAAATAAATAAATATTAAAAACAGGATGTATGACTTCGTCAAACACAAATTGTCCTGAGACCACATTTTTTCAATACTGGCAAAGTGGGACAGGTAATTATTTATTGTAAAGAAGGATAAATGAGAGAGTATGAGTCATTTCAATAGTTTAATGATAAACTTCAATTATTCATACAAATTAAATGTATTAAAACATTCTTTAGGTTTTTTGTGGAACATTTAGAATTATAATGTATTGTTATTAATATTATTATGAGGCTATTATTCGTATTATTATCATCATACTTTATTATAATTATATGATTTAGCCTATATGTAATTTTATAGCCTATAAATAAAATAAAAATGAACTTCATCTAGGCCTATCAACATTCTCAACACTATACTCCAGTGGACATTTTGTAGAATGAAACCAGAAAGACCTCACCCCTCAACAATTTCAATGACTGTTTTATTGTCAGAGTCAAATACAGCAAAATATACTTTTTTTAAATGTTGGTGAGGTAATATCTTTCTAAGTAAAATGCAGCTACGCTAGCAAGCTAGCTGATAGCAGATTTGAGGAAACAATGTAATTAAACATTTGATCCTATTTAGAAAATGTATTTCATAATCCCCAAAAATATTATTTTCTGCATTAAAATGGCCTAGAGGAGTGTCCCAGTTTGACAGTAGGGGATTGGCATACTGGGACACTGTCAAAATGTCAATATTATAAAAAGGTGAGTAGTAAGAATTTTGATTTACAATTACATCCCATTACAAAATATGTTGTAATGAAACACTGAATGTCCTTTCTTCGTTTTTTATAACCTTAACATTATTTACCTATGTAATTTTACTTACCATTATGCCTCTAGAGACGCGTCATTCATTACACAGGATGGCCATGCCCACAATGATGACCTCATGCCCATTTAACCCATTTTTTATCATCACATATGTAGTGTATGATGAATTATGACTTTGCTAATGTTTTCAAGTGGAACCTGAGAGGATGTTTATTCAGTGTTAGAGGGAGTAGTTTTAGGGTGACACACCATAGAACAGAGGAAGTCTGTTAGGTGTCCTCCTGGGATTGGTCTGTAGGGAACACCCATATCAGATTACATAGCATATATACCACAGTTGGGACAAAAGAGGTCAGAATAATCATATTAGAGATGGGGCGATTATTCTCTGGGTATCTGCAGGTATCTGTAAATCGACGCTGTAACCCTTTGTTATGAATAAACCTTATGATGAAAATACAGCGTCAGCGGGTCCTCCTTGTCAACACAGCATAATTAGCAACGTTTACTCTACACTACAAAATGGCGGCGAGGATTTGGAAGGTATTGCGTTTTTCCTCAGCGTTTCATTCATGGGCGCCGAGCTGACTCTGGCTCCAGAGGCAGATAAGGGTGAGTTTGTCACTACTTTGGGCTCTGGTCAGTTCGTGTGTCTGTGTGTGTGTGTGTGCGTTGAAAGAATGCACCGTTAAAGAACTTGCGTGTGTGCGTTGCTGATGTGCTGTGGGATAGGAGTCCGTTCTAAATTTGTTTGCGCTGGTAAACAACGCAAAAAGGGGGGAGTGTCTATAGAGATATTTTGCTTGAATGAAGTTCAAGAAGAATAGATTGAGAGGAATAAGGCCTAGGCATATGTGTGTAACCGCAGTGAATCTACGGAAACCCTCTTAAAGGAGGTGATCATTATGATGGGCCAAAAATCCTAATAACGCGTTAGGTGTAGTTAGGTAAGTCCAGGGGGCTTGAGGCTGTGGTATATATTTGATTGTATGTTACCGCTCAGCTTGTGGTTGACGAATCATTTGTTTGATGTGACCGCTCATTAAATTTCCGGCAGGACCTCGTGGTAGCAGAAATTTAGCAAACAAAGGAATTTTACGACACGGCGGAGGGAGAAATGCTAAACGTGGCCTGCTAATAGTGCTTCATGCTAATGCTAAATGCTAATGCTAATTTATTCATGCTACATGCCAAATTTGATGCGTGCTTACGTTTGATATTTTTTCCTTGGGGGTCCATTGGAATGGGTCGAGCCTCCAAAACTGTGTTTAGTTAGCGTGGGTTTTGTGCCCTATGTTTTGTGAGCTCTGTTAAGTGTTATTGTTTGTCTATAAGGGGTAAAAGAGAGGAAATACAGCGGGACTGTTAACTTTCTGTTGCCTAGCTTGGAGAGAGCTGGGAGAGAGCTCCTTCCACTGTGAAATCGCAGTGATGTTTGAACTGCGCATGCGTGTGATTTTACGACACTAGAGTGACGTAGGGGTAAATATGCCACTCCTCTGCTACACTGTGCTGCGGGGAGACGCAGACGAACGAAGGAACAAAGAGAAGGGAACATTTAGAGGCTAATAGTGTATTCTGGTTGTTACATCGGCTGTTTGACGATGAAACTGTTTTCTTGAGACCTATTGAATTGATAAATGAGAGAGATGTTGACGGATTAAAAATAAAAATAATTAAATAAATAAAATAAATAAATGTTATTGAGCTATTTATATTATTCCTGAGTTAATTCGTAGCGCGAATGTGACTAGAGGAATATTGAATGGTTGTAATAACTCAGTGACTGCATAAACTACTAAATTCTTGTCTGTTTCTTTGTTCTTTTGTGATATGAGAGACGATAAGAGGAACGAGGAGAGAGAGAGAGAGAGCGGAAGTGCTGACGTGTACATCATGTGACAGGGTGTGACGCGACAGAGTCTGCTGCAACGGACCAAAAATCAAGTCAAAAGATCAAGGCTAGTACTGTTTTATTTACAGAAACCTTGCCTTCCTATAAAGGATATGTTGTGATGTTATGACAATTTGACAAGGACTTGGCAAAAGACTGATCAATTGATGAAAATAAAAATTGCATTTTGGAGTTTTTGTGCATGAGTGGGTTTGATTAGAGTTGTGTGGGGGAATCAAGTACTGACATTATTCTGTAAAATTAGGATAATTAGGTGCTTATTAAGCAATGGGTTTATGAGTATTGTAGTGTTGTAGGATTAGAAGTCTTTATTTTTTGGATTGCTCTGAAGTTGACTACTTTCATTTAATTTCCTGATTGGATGTGGTAAGATTGCCACTAATCAATAATTTGGTAAAATAAAATGAATAGATAAATAAATTGATGAATAAATTAATTGATTAATTAATTAATTTGGGGAAGAAGAAAAAAAATAGAAAGAGAGAAAAAATAGGGAGGAAACTATAGGCTATATAGTCTAAAATAGAAATAATTTACAATAAAGGAATATCAAATAGTTGTTACAGGGGGGAAAAAGGACATAAGAACTATGAAAGTAATTACACCTGTTGATATAGTTGAAAATAGTAAACATTGCAATACCATTAACTAAAGGTTATCTGGAAAAGGGAATAAAAGTTGGCATGACATTGAACAAACATAGCCAGTGGAGGGAATTTTAACCCTGACGTCATCAACATGATGAAAGTGATTGAATAATAGAGAGAGGAGAAGCAGAGACGACCATAAAGATGAATCCAAAACTCCAAAAGAAAGAAAAAACCGAGATGTCTGGAAACTAAGAGAAGAATGAGGTTCGGAAAGATGAAGACAAAGATGAAGATTTGGAGATTAAAGGTGCTTTATGTTCAAGAGGATTTTATCCTACAATGATTAGTAAAGAAGAAATAGAAAGAGATATAGACTGAAGTGTATTATGCCTGGATAAGGGGAATAATTTAGAAGAGACAAAGAGAATTGGAACAACAACTCAAGAAGCTGAAGATACAGAAGAGGAAAAAACTGCTGAGAAAAGGATCCCAAGAATTGGAGGAGAAGAATACATTGAGGAAAGGAAAGAGAGAAAAAGTATACATTGATGGAAGATGATATTTCGAGGACAGAACTTAGAATATAAGCTTTTGAAGAATACTGATATGTCAACAACAAGAAAGAACAGGACCAAGAAACTCTCAGAAAACTTGATCAAATACAACTGGGGGGAGAAGAAGGAGGAGAAGAAAAGCTTTGGTTATGAAGAATCAGTGTGAACCAAATCAACAATCACTGCCATAGCTTCAACTGAACAAGGTCAAATGCAATTGTATCAGCCACAACTAGTGGTATAAGTTGTTTCATATCCATAGATAGTTTCTGGAAAGAGGGAATTTCAGAGGAAGATACAGGAGCAAGTGAAGATCATCTGGAGGACAGGTGAA